GCAAAAAAAAAAAACGGTGTTCTAAAATAGGTCAGATCCACAGACGGTGTAGGGCTGCGTTCCTGTGGCTGTAGATGAACAGAGAGGATGAACAGTCGGTGATGACGGGTTCTTCAGTCCAGTTCCGTGTTCTGGCTCCTTGTTCACATTTTCCTTTTTCCTCCGTCTGACTCCTAACATCCTTCCTTCCTCTGTTCTTTCCCTTCTCTCCTCCTTCTGATGCATCAGTAAATCCCACACTCGCGCGCAGGGACTGTAGAGGCCAACACTGACCCCACATGGCTGTCTTAAGAAATACTTTAACTGTGCTTTGAATTACAGAAGTAAACTGTGTGGAACGGACTGAGAACGTCAGAGGAATAACAGACTAACGACCACAGAAGAAGAATCAACTCTAGTCAATGACGGGTTAGTAAAACTGCAGGTGTTTGACCTTTGACCTGAGGACAGAACAGAGGAAGCTGCTGTTGGCCCCCCACCCCAGAGCGACGTGTGAAATCTGTCTTCGTCTAGATCCCAGAGTTAGTTCAGTTTAGTCCATCCACAACTAACCCTAAAACATAGTTTTTTGACTTAGTAAATATAAAAATATATTTCCAGTAGATACTTAGAAGGCTAATAATAAGACGCTAGCAGCAGATTTCTGTAGCCCCCCCCCTAAATGGGAGACCACCCTCAGGTCACTGATCTGTGGGTTAGTCTGGGAGGTGACCGAGGAGTCAGGAGTCGGAGGCGTGAAGCGGCACCAGGCTCTGGGGTCAGAGCTGCAGTGGTAAAAGGGTAACTAACGTTGGTGCTGCAATGCAGGCGTTCACTGTGCCACAGCTAAATAAGGCGTCAGCCTGGACCAGCACCGCAGAGGGGGACATTCAATCCTGACAGAGAGGACGAGGAGAGGGTGAGACGAGGGTGAGGACGAGGACGAGGATGAGGATGAGGAACCATACACACACACACACACACACAGATACAGATATGACAGCATCTCCAACACCCAACTAACGTCTCGTGTTCGGTTCTGGTGTTTGAAGGATGTGGGTTTTACTTGAAGTTGTCGGGGTACTGGCTGAGGGCCAGGCCCAGCGTGTCCAGGGCGTGACGGTGGTGTTTCTGTGCACTGAGCAGCAGGGCCAGTAGGTGGAGGGAGTGCAGGTCGTCACTGTGGAGAGACAGGGCCCTCTGCAGGGGCTCCATGGCTGCAGAACCCTGTCAAACACACACAGAGTCAGAGTCACACAGGAACTGGTCCAGACCTGATGCTGGTCCAGACCTGATGCTGGTCCATACCTGACGTATCAGTGCCAGCTGCAGAGCCAGGTACATGGCAGCCTGAGAGTCCAGTGGGTCTAAAGACCAGACCTGACGGAGGACAGAGACAGATCCAGTCTACGTCAGTCTACGTCAGTCTACATCCTACTGTCTAAACAAACAGAAATTATCATTCATTGAAAAATTACTTTTTTCCAGATTATTCTCATATATATATATTTATATATATTTACATATTTTCAGATAAAGTGTAAATCCAGCTTCAAAAATACCATCTTTTCCAGGGGGTGCTTCAACCTCTGTTCAGTGGCCCGGCTGGTGTCAGAGCAGCCTGACTGTCAGGTCAGGACAGTCAGTCAGTCTCTGACTCACGGTAATTAATAATAAAAGCCACAGATGAAAACAGGTGACAAACACTGACCTCTACCTGCAGTACTGGGTCTTTCTTTTCCAGAACAGGTGACAAACACTGACCTCTACCTCCTTTCTTTTCCACCAAGATACGATAAGTAAAAATGATTATTTGTGAATATTTAATTAATTTTAATCAATTATTTTTAATCAGCAGTCCTAAAATTTTTTTTTTATAATCACCTGTTCTCTCTGTGATCAGTCTGACTGTAGAATACACTGTATTTAATTGTTGATTCAGGGAAATTCACAACTCAAAAATCAAGACAAAAACCAGCTCACCAGGAACTGTCGAATGGTATGAGGGAAAAAAAACAGTTCTAGAATCAGGACCTACTTCTTTAGAAGGTGAAGGGCCTTTTTGTTGAGTTCATCACGATCTGCTTTGAGAGAAGCTGCAAAAGGAGAGACGTGAGATTTAACACGACTTTAAAACATTTTAAACCTGTGTTTAATAAGTCAGAGAAAAGTCAATCATCAGGATGGATTAAGGATTTGATCAGACTGTGGTTGTTTGATGTTGTGTGTGTTTCAGTCCGAACCGTTGGAGGCCTGTAGACTGTAGCACAGACCCAGGGCTACGTGGGCTCTGGGCAGGAACTCCGCAGCGTCTTCACCCATGGACACCACACTCTGGGCCAAAGACTCCGCCTCTTCATACTGGACACACATGAAGTCGCTGGTTAGTGGACTCTAACCTGTCATTACTAACTAGTCATCATGAAACAGGACGCTGAAGGAATCAAATGGTTAAAATGGTCACAACAAGAAATTACTTTTTTTTAAAACTCAAGTAATAAAATATAAATAAAAACAGATTCTAACATATACTCCACACAGTAATGTTAACACGTTAGCTTAACTCTGATCATTGTGTTAAAACAGTCAAAGCATACATGAACAGTAGGGACAAAATATACTCTAGTACTACAGTACTGCAGTACTACAGTACTGTAGTACTGTAGTAATGATACCTGAGCCGTGCTGTGTTGCTGTGACTTGCAGCATTGAGGTGTGGCCCACGACTGGGGTCTGTTGCCCACTGGGATTAAAACTGTAATCTCCTTATGGTCTGATCTGCCGTCAACTCCAATCTCTGACAGATGTGATATCTCTCTCCCTCTCTCTCTCTCTCTCTCTCTCTGACCTGTGTGGACTGTCTATATTATGACTCTACCTACTGTGGGTGGATTACAGACGACAGATTACAGCAGGGATTGTCTATGATACTGAAATCATCCCTGCGGATCATACCAACCTCCTTTGATGTTTTCTTCTGCGGCTGTAATCCCGTGAAATTATCATCACTGCATTATTTTTAGTTGACGCTCACATGACATCAGGTTAACCCAGATTACTGAGTTACGGTACTGAACGGTCATAAATACTACAGTTGTGGGGACAGAGTTTGGAGTTAGGATTAGAGTTAGTGTAGGGATTAGTCCTGTATTTTATAATAATTTAGGGTGAGGAGCCGGGGGTTCATTTATCCATGTGAACACAAACCTGCATGTGTGTGTGTGTGTGTGTGTGTTAATTCACCCAGTGCAGCTGACCGATGCAGATTTTTGCAGCCAACATGGGCAGTGATGGGTCCTCAGGTCTCATCTTAGCACACTCCTTAAATACAGACATGGCACCGAGCCCCTGAAACACACACACACACACACACACACACACACACAGTGAGAGCCAGTGCCCGGTGCAGTGCAGCCACAGATGACTTTATGCCAGTGTATCAAACAGCTGTCCTCACACTGCCCTAATGCAGACATTTAAACACACGGTCACTTAATACATGTGGGTCAATCATTAATGAACTGCCCACACACACACACACACACACACACACACACAAGTCGGGCCCCGAATAGAATCGGATCTGACGACACTGAGGCGGCGCCTTCTCCTTCTAGGGAGCAGCCTATTTCTGGAGCTCTCCATTGATCTGCAGTGTCACACAATCCAGGAGCACAGGTCCAGGACTCTGTCACACATACAGTAGACGCACACGCACACGCACACGTTCTTGGTTAACTCAGAAAGACCGAGGAAGAGTAGAGGAGGAGGAAGAGTGGATTTGTTTTTCCTTCAGTGACTCAGTGACTTCACAATGGTGGAAATAAATAACTACATGAATTTATAACGGCAGTTTAGTTCACTGATGAAGATGCAAAAATGAAAAGAACATGATCTGGTTAGATCATATTTGTCAAAGTCGAGGCCCGAGGGCCAAATGTGGCCCGCCAAGCTATTTTGTGTGGCCTGCGGGAGCTTAAAAAGTATTTAGTAAAGTCCATGCAGTAGAGTTTCTTAACCTGAGAAATTAAAAGTTTTTTATTACATCTTTTAGACTATTTATCAGAAACTGACTGACATTTTATTTTAAAATATTGCCAGATTATCTTTAAATAAAGAAAGTTAATGGATATTAATTGGACTTTCTGTATTTTCTTTAAATGAAATAAAATAGTAAAATAGTAAAGTGTCCCACTGAGGCCCGGTACCAAATGACCTATGGACTGGTACTGGTCCACGGACCGGGCGTTGGGGACTCCTGATCTATACAGTCTACCATTTAGAAACGGTCCTTCAAGGGGAACTGTATTGCTGATGTGGCCCCCCCCCCCCGGGGAAAAAAGGGCGGTGAAAATGAGTGTAACACCCCTGGGTTAGATGGTCCGATGGTACTCAGATCAAGATCTGGTTCGATGGTCCGATGGTACCCGGATCATGTGACACGTTTCAGCAGCTGACTTCATGAGATGGGGTGAAATCTGCCGTGGTCAGCAGCTTTCACTCCCAGCCACGACAGGAATGTGTTGAATGACTGGACACATGGAGGGATGTCTGCTCAGGGTAGGGTGTGTGTGTGGGTGTGTGTGGGTGGGTGTGTGTGAGGGTCTGTGCCTGGTTTATAAGGAGGAATGAGCTCACCTTTCCAGAGGCCATGAGTGACAGGCCCAGCTGGTACCAGAGGTGGAACTCGTTGAAAGAGAACTTCATAGCTCGTTCAAGACACTGCAGAGGAAGCACACACACACACACACACACATACACACACATGGACAGACGGACGGACACTTATAGATCAGGACAGGATTCTTAGCGAGCCGACCCCCCCGAGAACATCTCAAATATTTGTCAGTATTTCTCAAGTACTTTTATTTGCCACAGTCTCGGTGGTGGTATGTTACTGTAGGACCTGATTGGACAGTGACGCTGCAGTTTGGTCACATGACTCTTCTACACCACAGTGATGACTCCGTAAATCGTTGCAGCACAAATCCAAGGTTGAACCCATTATGCAGAGGGTTAATGAGTTGAGCCTGGATTAATGCTCCGTCAGACTCGTATTAAGCGTGAGGTTAAAACAACGACTGCAGCTGCGTCTGTTAATTAAAGCTGCACTAATCAATACATTAATCAATCATCCACTGCTCTAAAATCTATTTGTTATGGATCATTTTCACCTCAAACATCGAACACTATTTTCCCTTTTTTTTTCTTTTGCTGCTTCTGTTTGGAAGTGTTTGTAAATGGATAATATGTCCAGTAGGTGGCAGTAATATTAGGACATGTACGAGCACAGTTTATTTGTAAAGCAAATTATCGACTTGACGTTTACGAAGTCGAAAAAACTGACAAATAATCTGCTGTGATTATAAAAGATTAGCAACTGAAGACGCAAACCATGACTCTTTACTGCCCCTCACAGGACAACAGATCCCAGTACAGTAATGTGTTTGCAGGGCTTCACCTCAGACAGCATGGCATACTGCCCCCTCCTGGCCAGGCCGATGGCGAGCAGATCATAGACGGACGTGGCATCCTGCAGACTGGCCTGGCGAGCTTCAGCCTGGTCAGGAAGTCGACTGATGACCGCTTCACCGCTGGCCTGCGGGAAACGCAGACAGGAAGTGAGGAAGGGGAGGATGAAGGGGGAGAGGGAGGGAGAGAGGAAGGAAGTACACAAGGGAGAGTTGACATGAGTTTTAGGAATGCATATATGCATAAATACAGTGTGTGTGTGTGTGTAACTCACCATTGACTCTGTGATGAGCAGCAACAACACTGCTTCTTCCACCACGTCCTGAGGGCAATAGCAACTACAGAGAAACAGGAAGTATACAGGAAGTCATTTCTCTCTCTCTCTCACACACACACAGACACACACACACCTTGTTCCAGGAGTGTCCAGTTTCTGTCTCACCTGTGGCTTCTGTAACAGAATAAGGACCTCTGTGGGTGTATCACTCTACATGACCAGCTCAGATGTTCCACACACACACACACACACACACACACAGATCTTTTCATGAGTGCTTTCGTGGACTTGACCTCAACTATAACATTCCTAATCTTAATCCATACACTGATTCTAATCTGAGCCTAACTTTAATCCTAACATCAAACTGCCCCCCCCCTCTCTCTCTCATATGGACCCAGACCCTGACCCCTGGTGGTGTGGGCTGAGGATGAGTCATGTGGCAGTGGCTAAGTTTGGTTCCAGGCCCTGGATCCCTGCAGAGTGGGAACTCCACAGACCACGGGGCAGAGGTAAAAATAAGTCGTCTGTGTTTGCTTTTTTTCACCACCAGGAGAAAGATTTTCTTTCTTCTCTCCACGTTAGGACTTTGATCTACGATATGTGGTTTCTGTGTTGTTGTCGTCGAGGCCTGAATACAAACGGTGAATACGATACAGCAACAAACCTTCACAAAACTTTTTGTAGAAGTTTGTTTTGTTTTTTTTTACAACCTTCACAAAACTTTTTGTATGAAGTTTGTTTTGGTCGATACAGCGTCTAACTGTTTCACTGGCCGTTCTTGTGAATGTGAGTGTGAATGTGAGTGTGAATATGTCATATATGTGCTGTATGTGTGGTGTGTTGTTCAAGGTACTGGCGTTGAACCAACAACCAGACAGGAGGCCTCAGGGTAGAGATTCTCCTGCTGACCTCCTGGTGTTCAGTAAAGAAAGAAGAGTGACAATGACCACCTGTGACATCATCACTGACAGCTGAACCCCCCCCCCCCCCACCCCAGCAGCTGACACAGAGACACCCACCCGTCAGAGCTGTACCGCTGTGGTGGTCTAACAGTGGGGTAGATGGCGTCTTTGGGGGCAGCAGCGCCCTCTCTGTGGAGCCAAGCTGAGGGTGGGGGCCCCAGTGGGGGCCAGTAGCTTTCTTCACTGACTGAGCTCAGTAGCACCTCCGCCAGCTTCTGTGCTGCAGACTGAACACAGGTGACATCAAATATTTAACTTTGACAACAACAGACTTTTCCCACGATGCTTCAGTCCTGCTCCTCTGATGTTGACACACAGACCGTATTCTCCGGGGGATTTTAGGTCATATAAATATTTGGGTTCATCATGTCACTCCAACTCATGTTTACACTGACAAGAAAATCCTGTCACACCACAGTTTCCGTAGTGTAGTGGTTATCACGTTCGCCTAACACGCGAAAGGTCCCCGGTTCGAGACCGGGCGGAAACAAACATTTACTGTAATTTTCCCAGCCTCAGATCAATAAAGTACATCATTTAAAGCATGCTAATTAAATGTTACTGAAATTTAATAATATGTAATGATTTTAACAGGTTGTTTTTTTTTTGTTTTGTTTTTTCTTATAAAAACTTTCAGTTCATTGACTTCTGTTTGAAGACCACTCACCTTCCTGAAGCCCTGAGACCCCCGTGACTCCACCACCCTGAGCACCCTACGAAGCTGGTGAGCCCCCTGGGCAAGATGACTGAAACACACACACACACACACATTAAGCTTAAACAGGTGAATGAAGCCTTTCTTCTAAACCAAGGGCAACACTGACACCTTGTGGCTGAAAATCAACTCACCCTCGGTGCAGCAGACAGAGGTAAGCGCTCTGTAGAGCAGCCTGGAGGAAGTAGCCCAGGTCCATGTCCACAGGTGGAGGCAGAAGACTGGTCTTGTTGGTCTTGGGGTGAGGTGTAGTTACTGTCTGTGACGTCATCATCATCATCACAACAAGTTATAACAAGTTATTTTTCTTTCTTTTTTTTCACTTAATAGAATAGAACCAGACCCTTGAAGTGGAAATTGTTTAAAAAAAAAATCTGACAAAATTTTTACTGAGATAAAAATTTTACTTTATAATATTTATCTAGTAACAACAATGCAGTACTAATACAACAGGTACTGGTACCTTGTCCAGCTCCTGCAGGAAGGAGAGGGCGGCGTCACAGGCCCGGAGGTAACAGGACAGACTCTCCTCCTCCCTCTCCGACAGACGAACCCTGGACACGGCAGAAACTGTCTGATGGTCCAGAGACAGACCTGAGGAGACACAGAGGAGTCCACATGACCACCACAACCACCACCTGCTGACACTGGACCTGGAGAGTCAGTGGACCGATAGGTTGGTTTTTTAGACCAGAACTACAGACATGTTAAGGGAACTAGATCTAGGCAGCAAAGCCAAAGAAAAAGACCATGAAGTAGCAGTGAACACCAAGAGACACATCCAGGGACTGCCACTAGGGGGGCGTCGTCTTCATCCTGTTGTCAATTTGCTGTTCATTTGTAGTTATGTCCTTTCTATTTTTAGCAGACAGGACTACAGAGGAGACAGTTAGTGCTGTTCCTGATGTCGGCTCCAAACCTGGGTCTGTGACGGACCACAGACCCCAACGATAATCCAATCAACAGCAAACGACTGTGAGGCAGAACTTCATCCTCCAAATATTCACAGCAGACATCACTTCCCACAGTGAGAGACAGGCCTGGGAAGAACTTCACTGATCCCACAGGACCTGATGGGTTCACTCCTCACAGACGTCCAGTCCCACAGCTGTGAACCCACAACATTCAGAAGGAGAATCAAAGGCTGACAGTAATTAAAATGGAATTCTCCTGGGTTCATGAGTCTGACGTCACGTCCCATCATCAGGAAATGAGCAGCGCTAATGACATGACGCTAATGATGAGCTAAACCAGATTCTCCAGCGCTCTCGGAGTCCAGGTCACACACGCCACAATGCTAACTTTTAGCCATTTCTCAGCTACATTTTATTTAACTAAAGAAAAAAATCGTTTTCATTGTGTGAACTCTGACTGTATTTGAGCAAAGTCAAGAGGTTGATGTTCCAGTGACGTCAAGTCAGTGTCACCACAGGCCACAGTTAAACAGAGGACACTGTCTCTTTAAGCTGATGTTCTCCATCTGGGTTCCATTTATCTCCATAGAAGTCCGTTTCAGTTCTGGGCCTCATGAAACTCATGAACGCACGACGTCGTTGTGATCCAGGTTTGTGAAAATCTCCTCACAGTCGTTCACGATGGAACAGAGTGGAATTAAAATACATTTAGATTTCACGTGCATCAGTATTCAGTTCACTTGAGTGGAATTAAAATACATTTAGATTTCGCGTGCATCAGTATTCAGTTCACTTTGAAAAATATAATCCTGCTGCTGGAGAACCTCACTTACAGAACAGTTCCTGGTGCCTGGAGAACCTCACTTACAGAACAGTTCCTGGTGCTTGGAGAACCTGCCTAGAGAACAGAATAGTTCAGGCGCCCGTCGGCCTCACGTACCTTTAATGACGAAGGCCTCGGCCAGCAGCCTCAGGTGGTAGGTGGGCTGCTCGTCCTGGGTCAGCTCCTCCAGTCCCACCCTGGCACACATGCCCTGGGCGTCCCAGTACCGACCCTGCACGTAGTCCACCTTGGCCATGAGCAGCAGAGCCTCGTTCAAGTACCTGGACTGGAACCAACAGACAATGAATGTTGAGTGGAGTTGGTGGGTCACGTTAAAGACAGATGATCTGACGCAGGACGGACCGCGAGGCGACCCCGACTCAGGATGGTGTTGAGGTGGGCTTTGGCCGTGCTCAGTTTGGGCTGCGTCTCGTCCGTCAGAGGTGTGGCCCGACGCAGCAGCTCCAGGTTGTCCTGAAGACACTCCTCCAACAGGGCCTCAGCTATCAGCAGGATCCCATAGTCGTCTGAGGAGGAGGGAGAGGGAGAGGGGGGACATTATCAACATTGTCCTCCCAGTCGGTGTCCAGCGTCACAGGTGATAATTTTAATCTCACTCAGTAAAATAACAGCGTTCCCATGAGTCGGTCAGAAACGTTCCAGATGCCTCAGCAAGGACAAACTTTCCACTTTAATCTGTTCCTTAAATAACTTCAACATGACATCGCTGTGATCACATGACCCCCTCGTTCACCATCAGTCAGTCAGTCATGACGTCAGTGTTGACTTAAGGTTTTATCGTCCAGACTAAACCTCCATCGGTGGATATGATGATGTCACAGCCGGAGAACGCTGGTAACGGCAGAACTCTGATGTTCTCTGAGGTTCACAGACCAGTTCAGTCGGTGATGGGATTTTACAGAGGTCTGACAAATAAAGGATCATTGGATTTGGTCGCAATTTATCTGGAACTCTTTGTTATGAAAAAAAAAACCTTGATAAATTCGTTTTGTGAACAAAAAAATCGTGAATCATATCGTATGGTGAGTTGAGTGTATCGCTATATATTCTACTTCTGTTTATCAATGTCTGTATTTGAAGAACTTTGTTTAATTATTGTAGTTTTTCCTGGCCCTTTCCTGGCCTGTAGGTGGTGCTAAGGAGACATTTAAAGCGTATGTTCCATGACGGCCTCAGATGCCAATGTTGACGTCACAGAATACACACCTTAAACTCTGTAATATTTCTAAGGGCGTAAATAAACAGTAACAGTCCCCCCCCTCCCCCCCAGGGTCCGTGAAAAGACGTGACGTGACACCGGAGATGTGAGAACATGAGCCGAACAACAGGAGCAGAGACGAAGAAGAAGAAGAAGAAGAGGGGAAAACTGAGATTAGAGAAGAGTTGACGTCAAGTGATCACGTGACACCCGGTGAAACAGCACCGGTTCTTTTATTCACTCTGGACCCACTTCATCAGGTCCTGGTGAACCGACCTGTGTGTGCGTCACTGCTCCATCAGCCAATCAGGAGGTCAACAACCGTACGCTCACAGTCACCATCACCTGGAAGTGTGTAGCCCCTCCACCCCCCTTCTCCCACAAGGTGGTTGTTATCATAGTCGCCTCCATTAGAGTTAAAAATTAGCTGCAGGTCCACAAACAACTTAACGTTAGCCAGAGTAGACGTAGCCCAGACACAATGACGTGTTAGCCAACAACAGAACAAAGTTAGTCCACAGACGAATAAAAATGTCTGAATTAAAACCGTGAAAACCTCAGTTATAACAGAAACTACAGAACATTCAACCAGAGAAGAATAATCTGTGAAAATACCTGTTCAAGGTTTAGACGGAGCAAAAAATAAATAAATAACTAAAAACAACTCAGAAACTCCTGAAAATAGAAAAATGATAACAGCAACAGTTAGCGTTGTTGTAAAAAAGAAAAAAGAAAAGAAAAGTCCGTAAAAAATTTACACAGCACTGACACGCACACACACGTTGTGGTATTTCCTAATCAGTTGTTAATGTTAACATGTTTCTATACTAAAAAATACAGTGAAGCAGCGAAACCCAGTAAACTGTGAGTAAAAAAACGGATCAGGTCCAAAGTTCAACATGTTGAAACCAGACATGGACAAAACCATTGACATAACTCTGGTTAATTAAACACACGGCGGAATGACAGCGTCAGATTTAACTACTGTACGTACGTGTGTTTTCAGACAGTAACACATGTTCACGTTACAACTTCCTGAAGTCACAGAAACTTCACTTCAGTCAAATGTTCTGTCAGAACCGTCACATAAACCTGGGTGAAAACTACACGATTTCTTTCAGGACAACAGTGAAAACAGGTAAATAACAGCGGGTCGTCCTCGCGGTTTCCCAGTTACCTCCACCTCCACCTTCACTCACTCACCGTCTTCGTGGAATTTCGCAGCCAGCATCTGGTCCACGATCATCGGGATCCGCTCCCACTGACACTCGGCACGGCACCGATCCAGCTCCGTCTCCAGACGGAGCAGCGTGAAGGAGACCCGGGATGACATCGCTGCTCTGTCCCGGTCCACGGACACGATGGGAGTCACAGCGAACTGTGAAGGAAAATCAGTGTGTAAAGTTTGCGTGAAGGAGGCCGGAGGTCGGAGGGTGTGGGTGTGGGCGATTGATAACTGTTTACACCTACAAATAACTGTGGATTGATGTGCCGGAGTGAACCGTGGTTCTCAAACTATGGGATCAGCACTACTGGTGGTAGTTGGGCTCCCTCTTGTGGTACACGGGGCAATCTGACTTCTCATGAAGTTAACGTTGGTGAGTCGCTGTTCTGTAAACTCCTGTTCCTCTGTGGTCATGTATTGATTTATTTCTCTGATAATAATAATAATAATTTAACATTGGTCGTATTTTCACAGGTGGGTTATGATGAGAAACGTTTATAAAGGTTTTTATTTCAGTGATGATGATGATGTCATCATTTGTACAGTGATTCTGGTCAAACCAACATCATACAAAACAATTCTCAGATATTTCTGTACCTGCATGAAAAACTCGTATCCAGACTAAATTAATGTTCTGGAAACTTTATTTCTTAGACAAAAGGAAAAACCAAACTTTCACTGTTGTTGACAGAGAAACATTGTGGTGTGACTCATGTGACTGTGTAAACCTGTTTAGTATCAGAGGGAAACCAAAACATTTGAACCAGCAACACAGAATAAAAACTGTAAATACAATAGTTCAACGTCAACGTTTTGTTTTGGCTGTAAACCATCAAGTTCAAGTCCCGTCAACAGGTCCACAGTAAACAGTACAGTCCAAACTGTAAACAGTTCCTGACAAAACTTGGCAGAGTTATCCATGTATTAGTTAACACGTGCTATAGTCAAGTGTTTATTGGTATTTATATATATATATATTGTATGTTTATATAGATGCTAAATGTCCATACCATCTGATACGGCAGTCAGAGTGAAGAGTTTCTGTCTGACACAGATCTATATTCTTCTCCACTAACTCTTTAAGTGGATTAGGGTTGAATTTAGGCAGCAGGCTGACGAAGGCACACCTGTTAAAGCTGGGAAATTAGCATTAAAACATACGTTCATATATACATACAAATATATATACATATATTTGAATGTTTGTTATTTGTTTGTTTCAAAGACTGCAGCGACACCATACGGATGTTTTAGTGCACTCTGATGAATGAAGACAGAAGAAGACGCCCCCTTCAGACATCAAACTACAGAAGGACCGGGGGTCTGGGGGGGAGGAGCGGGAAGGGGGGCATGGAAACATCAACCCTCTCCATCACAGCACACGGTGTATAAACACAAGGGTGACTCACAACAGGTCCGGGGAGATGTCTGTTAACTGAGGGGAAAACAACAGCTACTGTGTGACATAAAAAAAAGACCTCTAGTCTCCTGAACAGAGATTTTGCAGCTTCGTTCTCTCTCTGGAACCCTGACATCTCTTCTTCTCTTCTTCCTCTCAGGTCAGAAGGTAACGGCCTCCTCCTCCTCCTCCCCTCACCCTGTCGCTTCTGACTCGGCTCCTGTGAGTGACACAGAGTGGCTACATGCCCCACCCACCATCGCTGATCTCCAATGACGTCAGCGGGTACCAGGTAGAAGGCAGTCTTCAGAACACAAGTCCAGTTGTTCTCTTCTTAACGGCTTTGGTTAAAATGAACTGCTGGATGAACGAGAACTTTCACAGATGAGATGGTCGTTGTTTTAAAGGCGGGAAGCAGCCATGTTTGAACTTCAGTTCATTCTGTATGAAATGAACGAGACAAAAGCTCACGTTTTACTGTGTCTACTGTTGTGTTTATTGTTATCGTGAATCGTTGATTACAGGTCTATAATTTATGTTACTTTATTCTTTACGTTGCTTCTTAAGGGACGTGAATTTTGCCACTTAGAATTAATCTTTAAAAATTCAAATTCAAAACATTTCTGGCTTTCGTCTTTTAGGCCAACACGTTTCTACGCTCCTGTGTACATCATATATGCCACTTAGAATTAATCTTTAAAAATTAAAATTCAAAACATGTTTCTACGCTCCTGTGTACATTATATGACCTTTTAAGCAACATCGTTTACTTTTACATCTATATATCGTTTACTTTTCAACAGTCGCTCTGGTTTCACTGGTGTCTTTGTTACTATTTAAAATAGTTTACATATATATCGTTTTCTTTTTTCGTCAATTTCGCTGGTCAAGCGGTGTGAACTATCTTGTCCCGTTTGTATACTCTTTGGTTAAAACGACCTATCACATTGAGCTGGCGTGTCCATGAGCAGCCACGGCAAGCGGCGTGGCTCAAACAAAAGTGTGACTTAATAGTCAATTTCTGCCATCTGTTATCAACCACAGTAACTGTGAGTGTAACGGAGCCAAGAGGAGATTCACGCGTCTCAAGTAGGTTTTAACCATCACCTTTTAAACGTCACTTTTGAAAATACGTACAGCGGTGGTTTAATTATGTTGTTATTTCACTGAACGGTTGTGTTGCAGCTTATTAAAAGCAAATCGCAGCAGCGCTATTTAGCTAACGGTGATCCGGTCATTTCGCTTTTGTATCATATACTTAAAAAGTAATACTTTAAAAAAATACTTAAACTGTTTTGTAGGTAAGTTAGAGACCGAGTTTTGGGCGAAAGATACATTTTCTTCATTTTCCCACTTTATAGGTAACTTGTAGGTTCTCCCGTTCATTAAAGAACAAAGGAAAATATATATATGTACAGTAATATAATTGAGACCGTAATGTGGGATAAGTTCTCAAAATACACAATAGAAAAACAGAAAAACAACTCGGTTTGTTACAGCTGTCTCTCTTTCTATTACACCTGACCAACTGTCACTGTCGTCTCTTTTTACAGAATGAAAAGCATCAGATCTACGGTCCTCGTCCTACTGTCCTGCTGTTTTCTCTGTGTTTATTCTCATGCAAATCCTCAGCAGCAACTGTATCAGCAGCAGCAACATCAGCAACATCAACAACATCAACAGCAGCAGCAGGCACCTCCTGTGGTAGAAAGTGCAGCTTCAATAAGTCATGGTCACGGTCGCCTTGACAAGAACATGGTCCAGGACAAAGAGTGAGTGACGTTTCCTCTGGGTTCAGACTGATAAACTGCACAGACTGATGGACTTTGATCAGCAGCAGCCGAGGCCGGTCATTAATACACACTGTTCTGTCTGTCACTGTTTATCTTCCAGCCACATCATGGAGCATTTGGAGGGAGTGATAGACAAACCAGAGACGGACATGACTCCTCAGGAGCTGCAGCTGCACTACTTCAAAATGCACGACTACGACGGAAACAACCTGCTGGACGGACTGGAGTTAGCCACGGCCATCAGTCACGTGCACAGAGAGGTAACGCAGAGCACAGGTCACCTGTTCCACCAGGTGTTTTCACAGATGTTTTTTAACACTTTGGAATTCTGTAGGAGAGAGGAGAGAACAGTCAGCCCATGAAGGAGGAGGATCTCATCGCGCTCATCGACGATGTGCTGAAGGATGACGACAAAAACAACGACGGGTTCATAGATTACGCAGAGTTTGCTAAATCACTGGAGTGACGTGTCCTAATGTTTCATCACGCCCACGACGACTGCACAGACCAACAGGAGGAGCCGTTAGTGGAGGACCAACACACGGAGGAGCAGCTCTCTGACTCACAGGTCATCAGCCAATCAGGAACTCAATCAGAAATTAAAGCAACTTTTTTTTTAATCTAAGATCAGAAATTAAAGCAACTTTTTTTTTATCTAAGTTGTTTTTTTTTTGGACATTTTTCAGTAAACACCATTGAGTTAGCCCCTGACAAATTAAATGTAGATTTTTGTCTAATGCACATTTAAGGACATCATGTAATTGTTACTGTCAGTTTTGTTAGATATGCTGAGGAAATTATTTAATCTCATCTACTCCAGCAGCTGGAGTAGGTTACAGTTCCTCAAACAAAGAGACTCCTTATATTAAGAACCAATAGTAGTGATGTCACTGCGTCATGTTCTGACGTTCCCGCTCCAGAATGCTGTACCTGAGAGTGAAGACTAGGCAGGAATCACGGGTCGTGTTGGTCGACAGGTTTGTTCCTAAACTGTGACTATTTCTTATTATGGAGACGTCAACACAGTCTCCATGTTTTACTCACTGCATCAACACAGTGGCCTTGGTAATGTTGAAGAAAAACTTGTTAATAATCCCAGCTGTAGGTCTGTAGAACCATCCAGATTCTTTATCACTGGATCATCTGGACACACACACACACACTGGCACTGGTCGACTCATTCCTTTATTTTCTTTGAACGGCACTGACGTTTTCCCCTGAAACCTTTATCTTTTTCTTTTTTCTGATTGGTCAACAGATGTTTAACGGGAGTCGTGGTTACAAACGCCTGAGGTTTAATTTCAGTGTGTGTGAAGAAGCAGTTGGAGCTGGAACATTACAGCAGCAGATTTAAAGAAGCCTCACAGTCTGAGGACTGATGGGAAGATCTTTGTGATTTTTGTGATAAAAATGTTTCAGGTCTGTGTGAACAAAAAAAAAAAACATGTATTATTTTCTTAGGTGAGATTTTTGTATAGATAAATTCTATATTTTTGTCATCAGTGTTTGCAGAAATTCCTGATCTGGAAATATTACACGTGCAGCCATGGTATTTCTGGGATGTGGAGTTATTAAAACAACAAAAACAAAAACAACAACTGGCATTTAAAGTCTGTGTCTGGCCTGATAAAATGTATTTTTTTTATCCCTACAAACGGCTGTATGAATTGCTGCCACCTAGTGACTGGAGGCTGTAATCATTCAAGCGTTACAGCAGTGGTACACTTCTGTCCAGATTTCAGATAAAATCCAGGAGATGGAGGCAGCGGCTGTAAAATACCTCACAATACCTGTGAATAAATGTGATGAAGAGTTTCTGCTCAGTTTGAAGACATTTAATAAATTCACATTATGACAGTAAACATCTGTGTGACGTCAGTAACGTTAGACTGACTTCTGGTTAGCAGATACACAGACAAAGTTTCTTCTGTTGCAGTTCCGTTTTAGCTCCAGTAGGAGGTGGGCTCCAGGGGCTGCACAGAGGACAGCGAGAACATGGGTGAGGACAGGTTGGTCCTCAGTGCGCCGTACCACTCCTCATGTTGACGCTGTGAGGTCGACTGGGGGGCCACACTGGGGCAGGGGCACTGGCTGACAGGACCTGGGTGACAGGGGTATGTCCCGGAGGGCAACATGGGAGACAGGTGTGATATATGTGGCAGGTGCTGGGTGTAGTACTGACGGGCCACCCCGGGTGACTGCATGTGCACGCCCCCCAGCAAACCCCTATGGGCGGGCACGACACCCACTGGGAGAGGCTTCTGAGAGAAGCGCTCCTGTTTCCGCTGCTTGGCTCTCCTGTTCTGGAACCAAACCTGTGGAGGTAAGAATGGAGTTCAGCTGCAGGAAGTCTGGAAGAAATATTTACCAGTAAACTATATGATGATAGAAAATATTAACCATTAAAATAAGTAAACTATATGATGATAGAAAATATTAGGATCAGGATAATATATGTATTTTAGCTTTTAGTTTAGTTTGGTTCCTTCTGTCCAACATTATAATAATAATTAAATAATAATTTAAAGTTTACTGATCCCATGTTTGGAAAATTCTTGTGGTAACAGGAAATCTGCCCCTGGCAGGGGTCAAACATATGGTTCCTCTGGGAATCAAACCCAGGACTCTCTGTTCTCTGCTTCTATGGAACTGACAGCGTCTAGCATCTAAAGAACAACGTCTGATATCTGAATGGTTTTTGCCCCCAGGCTCCTGCTGATACCCTAACCCTGGTCTGAAGGACGTCCTACTTGGATGCGGGCCTCGTTGAGTTTGGTGATGCGGGCCAGCTCCTCCCTGTAGAAGACGTCAGGGTACTGGTTCTGTCTGAACGCCACCTCCAGCTGCTCCAGCTGCTTGTGGCTGAAGGTGGTGCGGTGGCGTCTCCTGGCTGGGGAGAAGGTCCTGCTCCTCCGCCCCAGATCAGCAGCCACGGGGGTCTCACACGATGGACCTCCACTCACTGGGCCTCCTGTGTCTGCTGTCACTGGAGACAGAGAAAAAAAAAAGGTCAGCCTGGTGGTTTTCCCAGGTCGGCCTGATGAAAACAGACGTCCTAACATCGTGAGAGCACATTTCAGCAGTGACTCCTCAGAAAAGGAGGGATTACAGTGACTTAACAGTTCCCACTGCCACCAGGGAACCTGAGAGCAGGAGAGATTTAGCTGCTGAAGACGAGCGGCTGAGAACCAGAGACCAGAACCTGGAGGATTTGACCCAGATTAGAAACACAATGACAGGGACTCAGGGACAGGTCTGACAGACTCCAAGTCCTGGACTGGGACTGAACTGGTGTGAATGTGTAGAAACTTTAATGTTCACAAAAATATGATCAAAGTAAATATTGTTTAAACACTGAGCGATGTTCAAGGAACAGAGAGAAAGAAAGACAAATCTTCCATTTTTAGCAGCATTAAATTTACAACTTATTATTTTATCAATTATCATATCAAGTATGTGTAATTTTTCCAAATTATTTTGTCAAATTTTATCCACCTTGAAAAAAGCATTTAATGAACAGATTAACAACCTTTGTTCTAATTTATCAATTTACTGAATTAACTAATCTAATCTACTCTGATCTAAACTGTATATTTAATTAATAATATTAATAATAATATAATAACGGACTCACCTGGACTGGAGCCGACTGCAGCCATGACAGAGTAAAGCTCTGCACCAACCTGCTGACTCCTCGCTGCTGCGTCTCCTGCCTCCTTCACCTGGGCCATAGCTGCACCTCTGCTCCGCTCTGGTCCACAAACCCAACTGACCATGTGGTCCCGACGTCCCACCCACCATCAACACACCAGGTGTGTGTGGAGATAAAGCAAAAACATTTCACCTTTTGTCCCTGTTTTTTTTCTTCCTACCTGGAATTGAATTCTTGTGGCACTGTGTGTGTGTGTGTGTGTGTAGGTAATTAGTAGTTTTTCACTCCTTAAAGTTCCTGGCCTGTGTGCTGAACACCATGAGGTGTCTGACCTTCACCCTCCAGGTGGCAGCACACATCATGGGCATCGGTTACACCTGCCCTGTAAACACCCACCTTCCAGATGTTGAGCAGCAGAACATGTACAGAGTTAGTAAACCTGGTTTTCCTCTCCTCTGTGGTCCAGAGCCTGAACCAAGGACTAATAATTGTGAAACTAAATGATTTTCTGCTAAAATCTGCTTAAATCTGTCTTTGTCTTTTTCAATTGATCTGCTGCAGAGGGAGTCAGTTGTTCTTGCTAATTATTATTACTTTTATTCTCTGTATATATTTATTTATATGTTTTTTAACAGCATTTATCCCACCAGCAGATGGCTTGTCTCGATCCTTTAGTAAATAAAATGTCAATAACTGGGTGGATATTGGACAATACAGAGCGGTGACCACACCAGTGGTTATCTTCTGCTCTCCTCCTGTCCACAGTGGACCACCCACTAGTACTGTCATGTGAGCTAACCCTAACCCCGCCCCTCCGCCGGGGCACGTGAGTATGTTTCAACAAACGCGCAGACGCGGAAATGACCGTTGGGATTGGAGTTAGCGAAGCGGCGTTTGTTGTTGTATGAACTTAGCTGTGTTGTGTTCGCAATAAACTAATAAAGTTTTACGTTTTTAAACATAAATGACTCCGGCGTTGGACTCAGACGAAGATGATGCGGAGCAGCTCGACGTTTACGGAAAGGAACAGAGACGTGCGTTAACATTTGACTAGTTTGGTTGAACTGTAAGTTCACTGTTATGCTAGCATAGTTATGCTAGCATGTAGCATCTCGAGTTTGGCTATGACTCGACGACGTGAAAACGCCGGGTTTTTCAAAAGAAAATACTTTTGTTATTGTTTCAATGTCGCTGGGATAGAACGCATTTAAAGAAGAATCCAGACTTATCGTTAGTAGTAGTAGTGAACGAGTGTCTAATATTTACGATATGTCGCACACGTTATCGTTAGCAGCTCCTGTTTCTGAGCGTTTAACTAGGTGCTACAATCATGGCGCGTGTGTGTTGATTTCAGAGAGAACCAACCACAGCATCCAGCAGTTGAGCAGTGGACTGGAGCAGAAGAATCCTGATGGAAGTGAGATGTTGGAGGTCGGAGACAGTGACGACGGCAGGTTCTTCCCCATCATGTCCGATGAGGAAAAGCAGGCGTGGAGTCAGAAGAAAGGGAGTGAAGCGGGTTAGTGTTTAAATTTGACTGTTGTACAGTTAAATTTGACTGTAAATATTACTGTTTAATTACTGTTTAAAACATTACTGTGACATCCGGTCATGTAGAAACATAACCATTGGGTGGATGTATACTTTTACCTATTAATACCCCCTCCCTCTGTGTCCTCCATTCAAGTTAACCAGCTGAAAAGCCTCCTGCTGAGGCAGTGCAGAGACATCCCTGCTTCTCTCTCTCCTTCACAGAAACAGTCTTCTTACAAGGTCAGTTATGTTTGTTATTGTTTATATTTGTCACACATTCAACCCCGTCATGCTTCACTTTTGTGTTTTGTTTTTTTATGTGCCTTTTTAGAGATTATGTGAAGACCAAAAGTCCACCTTTCCAGTCTATCAGGATTTGGTCCCAATGATCCACAACCAGTCAGAATACATTCAGCACCTGGAGGCTGAGGTCAAACTCTGTAAGGTATTGCATGGCGGCGTAGGTCTTGGATCATGTGATAAACCCTGTATTTCCACGGCTGTATGTTCAGAATGTATTTCCTTGTTTGTGTACATGTTCAGGAGGAGCTGCAGGAGATGAAGCAGCGGGTCAGAGTGGTGGTGGTGCAGAACGAGACGCTGCAGTCTGAACTTCAATCCAAATATGTCGACGAGTCGCTGAATGACTACACAATCCAGAACTCTACGGTACGATTTATGGCGTCTGTAGAAACTAAATCAAATGGTTCCACTTCAGCAGTGATGTCATCTTCTCTGACTGATGTGTCTCTCCATCTGTTCTGTTTCTTCTCTCAGGTCAACAAGAGTCACGGAGGCCAAAACCTCAGTCTCTCAATGAAAGGCCAGAGTTTGCAGCAGAAAACAGGACAAACACTGAGAAATGAACTGGTGAGAATTTAATTTAAAAAAAAATGTTTGAGAATAGAAAAAATGTTTTCTCTTGTAATTACTGGTTACTATATATTTGTCATGTTCAGTTCACAGGCAGCTGCACAGTAGAACTTGGTGGCAATTTTAGATCATGAAATAATTGGAAATGTTCTGTTAGTTTCTCAAACAGTTGTTGTTTTTCCTCTTCAGGAACAACTAAAACAGATTCACCAGGCCCAGGTCCAAAGTCTAGAGTCTCAGATCATTTCTCTAAGGTCAGTGTCCCTCAAAATGATTAGTTACTTCTCCTAACTTTTTTTTCCCCTACGTCTTTGTAACATTTGCCTCTGTGAGCAGGAAGGATCTGTCAGTCAGCCAGAAGGAGTGTGAGGAGTTGAAGATTCTGCTCAGACGTAAGGAGAAACAGGCCGCTGATGCTCTCAGAGCTGATGGACTCCCCCGTGTGGCCGGACTGTGTATTAAATGTGCACAGCACGAAGCGGTCTTAGCAGAGACTCACACCAATCAGCACGTCCAGACGATTGACAGACTCACAAAGTCAGTGGAAGAACAAACACAGAAAAATGTTGCATTCCATTTGTGATGTTTGTCGTATTTTTGATACATATTTTGGTCAGCAGGGTTTGCTATTGTTTTAGTTGTTTGATTTGCATTTGACTGACATGGTTCAAGAAATAAATCATATGGACTACACTTGAAAAAAATAACGATGAAACAATCAAACAACAAAAGTAAAGAAAGAATAGGAACTGGAAAGAGTTCTGTGGAACAAGTTCTTCCCACGTTCTGTTTCAAGTGACTTTCAGTGACTTTCAGAGAAAATGCAGCCTTATGCCATGATTTGCGATTCATTGTTTTATTTCAACCTGTCTTTTCTGTTGCTGTTTCAGAGAGCGAGATGAGCTGCTGGTGGCTCTCTGTGCACTCAGGGCAAGCCAGCAGGAGGCGCAACAGAGGGAGTGGTCCTCCTGTCTCCAGGTCAAACAAGCTGTGGTGATGGCAGAAGAAGCACAGTTGGAAAAAGCAAAGGTCAGAGAAACCTGTGCGGTTCCCATGGTTACAACTGTGTTTTCTGTTTGTTCAGCTCTTCCCTTTTTTTTTCCTAAGAGGTTTATTTCAGTGTGGATGTGAGAGGTGCTAACCTTTTAACCACCACCTCCTGCAGGTGGCGGTGCAGTGTGAGCAGTTGTCCAGGGAGCTAGCTCGACAGCGGGAACAGTTGGAACGAGACGCACAGATATGGCAGGCAAAGATGGCGGAGGCCAAAGAAGAGGGACGAGCCGAGGTCCGTAAACAGAAGGAAGAGCTGGCCGATACTGTGAGTTCTACTCCGTCATTTACATACATAATACACAGACATATGTGGAAAAACTGATTTAAAGTATTTATTATGAATTCAGTCCTTAAAATGCAGTTCCCACTTTTCTTAAGTGTTGTTAAGTCTTGTTAAGTAAACAGGAGCAGACCGTACTTTAGACCAGAGCTGGGGATCCTATGGCTCACGAGCCAGATATGGCTCTTTTGCTGACTGCCTCTGGCTCTCAGATAAATCTTAGCTGGGATTTCTTAACGTAATAAGTAATAAATAATTTCACTGATATTCAAAACATTACAGAAATCATAGTGTTAAAATCTTAAAATATTTAATAACTGTACGGTAAATTCTTTCTTACATGGTGTGTAATAAACTGTATTGTATGGCAAGTATTGCATATAGTAGTATGACATATACACATTTTAATCCATACATTACTGGAGCCAATCACATCAAAACCATGTAGCACCAGAAGTCGCATGAATGGTATTTTATGCAATGGATAGTATAACAATGTTATATGTATTTAAATAACTTTAATATATATTTTTTTAATACCTTAGAGACATGTGGAAAGACTTTGTTTAAATGTTTTAAGTCAAGTTTTGTTTTGTTTCTTCATTAGATTTAACTCAGACCTGTGTTTTGTTCCAGGTTTCCAGTCTCTCGCAGCACGCCGCTGACGTACAGGCCCAGTTGGACAGAGCTTACAGAGACAGAACCTCACTGACCAATCAGCTGGAAGATTCTCTACGCAAGCTAACCAACCAGGAGCATGACAACACCCAGGTATATTTTATGCAATGGATAGTATAACAATGTTATATGTATTTAAATAACTTGAATATATTTTTTAATACCTTAGAGACATGTGGAAAGACTTTGTTTAAATGTTTTAAGTCAAGTTTTGTTTTGTTTCTTCATTAGATTTAACTCAGACCTGTGTTTTGTTCCAGGTTTCCAGTCTCTCGCAGCACGCCGCTGATGTACAGGCCCAGTTAGACAGAGCCTACAGAGACAGAACCTCACTGACCAATCAGCTGGAAGATTCTCTACGCAAGCTAACCAACCAGGAGCATGACAACACCCAGGTAGCTGTGGCTTGTTTTATTACGACATAATAGACACCAGACACAGTTTTGACTCTTTAAATGAAGATATTTTTACAAATGAAAAATTAACAGAGCATTTCAAAATATAGATAAAATCAGTAATAATAATAACACAAGTTAAAAAAAATATATAAATAATTCACTGACTCAAACATGGCTGTAAACACAAACTGGAAAAGAGCATTCCTCACAAATACAAAAAATAATATGTAACAAAAAAACATTTCTACCACTGACATAAGTTAGACTTATCTATGTAAACAAACTGGGAAATGGGACCGTAATCCCAGGTACCATGTCAAAAATGTCCACAGTGTGGCAGCATTTTACAAAAATAATAGATAACGGAGAAAAGTTGAATGAAAAGTTTCCAAGCAACAGTTCGCCCCACGTTGGTGACCTGTTGGACCATACACTAGGTTGTGTGCTCCTATAAAACCACTAGATGGCAGCAGAGTGTTTCCTATGGCAGCATGACATGGTGTGAATAGAATCTGTTCATTTTTAGACTTCAAGTGAAACACGTCAAAATACAGTAACGGTGATAAACTAGTGGTTTTAATGAGTAAATAATATATATATATTTGTAAATAATGTGTATATCTGTGTTTTTGTTTCTCTTGATGTACAGATGTGTGTGGAGCTGCGACATCACGTCAGTCAGGCCCAGCTGAGGAAGGACGAGGCTGAGCGAGAACTCCGAGAGACCAAGACCAAGACCAGCAGGCAGATGGAAAAGGCAGCACAGGTACCACGTTGACCCACTTCATTATAGTGGGGGTATCTTACTCTGTGTTTATACATGTTTTTTAAAATATATGTTTTGTTATATTTACATATGTTAGCCCAGTTTTAACTGTTTTAACTTAAATAGATGTTATAATAATACGACCTTTATTTTTAGTAGAAATGCAGTTTTTTTTTGTAATGCACAAGAATATCAGTAAATTAGAAGAACAATTGGAACAATTTTTTTTTGGTCATTTTTCATCTTTTTAACAGCAGTGATTGACTCTTTGTTGCGCTACTGCCTCCTACTGGGTGACTATATTTGTACCCATACTCCAGTACTCGAAACAGAAAATACTATGAGAGTACAGTGTAGCAGCAGAGAGCGCACACCAGTGTACACTTCTAGTGGCCACATTTCACGTTTTTTTTTGTCTAAAATTTTCACATAATACACCTTCAAAATTTAATTTAAAATTTAATTTTGTTTTCGCCTAATTTCTGTGATGTCGTTGTTCGTTGATTCTTCATCACTTCCTCTTCCTCCCACCAGGCTGTCAAACCTTGACGTTGTGTTTAAGGCCAGAAGGTGTTTGTCTTTTTGTTCAAGATTAAAGTTCCTCACCTTCTCTTCCCTCTTTTCTCCCCTCTCTGCGGGACAGGAAGTGGAAAGGCTAAGCTTGGAGCTGGTTGGCTGTCGTCGGCATCTGGAGGCGGCCCAAAAGGATGGTAGCCAATGGCAGGCCGAAGTCCTGAGCCTGGCAGAACAGCTGGCAAATGCCCAGCGCCAACTGCACCTCACCAGGTAGTACCTAATCCTATTATACATGCCACCACACCCACACACACACACACACACACACACATGCAAAACTCCCCTCTGTCCAGCCCCTGCCCAGCTCACCCCAGTCCAGTCCAGTTCAGACCAGCACACCAACTGGACCTCGCCAGGTAACAGTTAATCCTATTATTCAAAGAACACACACATGAACACACGTGCTGCTGCGCCACCGTCCTGGCACCAACTGGACCTCACCAGGTCACCGCTAATCCTGTTAAGCATGCCACGACATAATGCAAACACACACACACACACATACACACGCAGTGCCACCAGGCCAGAGTCCAACCCAGTGCCTTCTCCAACTGAGCCAAAATGGCGCCTGACTCCCTGTTGCACACACACACACACACGCACACGCAGAGAGCGAGTGATGGCTGATGGTCACTGGACAGCCTGTCCTCAGCGCCTCGTAGCCGTTCTCACGACAGGCACTACCGGCCCCCCCCCCCCCCCCCCCCCAGCACCCCCGTCCTCTGTCCTCTTTGTGTTTCTTTCTGTATTTGGTCGCTCACTTCCTTCTTTTATTTTAAAAATACTCTATACAGTCTGGAACACTAAGAAAATATGGTTTTCTCTCTGTTTTGATGAAGAGCTGAACCTCAATCGATCACTGTTTCTACAGAAACAACTCCAGAAATATATATATTTTTTAATATTATATTTATATTTATTGACCCAGTCGTGTTTACTTTCTGCTGAATAAAACACTGCAGTACGTTTTCATGCCTTTGGGGCTGGAGGTAGAGGTCGTTGACCCCTGTATTTGGTCCAGTTCAGTCCATCACAGGGACGTTCCCTGTTATAAAGAACGTGTTTTTCATTTTTCTTCTCTGCTTTACTGTCATCTTTTTTTTTTTTTTAAACTCCCCTTCCCCCCCTCTGCCCTCCCGTCTCCCCCCCTCCCTCTCCTCTCCCCCCTGTCCCCCTTCTCTTGTCTCCGTTCTGTCTCTCTGGCTGCTGTTTTTCCTCACCCCACCATCCAGTCACAGGGCCGGTCCTAGCCGTGCCAGCCGCCCAGGGCACTTTCTCACCCCCGCTGCCCACAGCCAAAGTGTCTGAGATGGGCACAGATGTGGCAGAGGTGCCCTGTGGTGCTGGAGGCTGCAGGTTATTTCAGCCTGTGTGTAGTTGTGAGTTTGTGTGTGTGTGTGTGTGTGTGTCCACTGCTGCTTCTGGCTCTGGTCTGTGTTTAAATGGGTTTTACTGTCAGCTGGCCAGTGTGAACACACTGGCTGCGGCTGCATGGTGGGATGATGGTGTGTGTGTGTGTGCGTGCGTGCGTGCGTGTGTGTCCACAGATGTGTGACAGCTGTTGACTTGGTCGTTTCTGGTTATCAGCAGCTTAAACCACTTCTTCTCAGTGATGAACCCACTGCTGACTGAACTCATTAATTATTTCATAGTTATATTGTGTTTTTATCAGGGCTGTAAGAAATTATTGATACATTGAAATATTGCAATATTTGGTTTCAGGATAATTTTTTTTTCTCACCAATTCCCAGTCCAATATTCCTGGTGTCAGTTCATTTTCTTTTTCTTTTCATTCTTCTCTAGTGATTCCAAATGTAGATCTGTTCCCTCTGCCTATAATAGTATAACATATATATATATATAATTACAAAATCAAATTGTTGATCGAAACTGAAAATGACGAAAGAAATTATTATGCTGATTATTAGTACCATTTTATTCATGTCTATGACTGTGAACTAAACCTCAATAAAATCAACGCACTGAGATTGAAAAAATTAATGTTTCAAAGAATAAAACAATGACAAAATTATGAAAATATTTATTTAGCACATTCCAACAGTGCACAATATAAAATTCAAAATCAAATGTTAACCTCCTGTGTACATTAAATGCTGGAAGATCTCATAAAAACACAAAGTGCTTTTAAGTCAACTGCTGGATCATTTCTCGTCCGCGCTGCTTTATTCCCTCATCCAAGTAATGATCTTTATAACAGTATATACAGTTATATACAGTGGTGATATATTATATTTACAAACTCCTGGATGAGAGGACAAGTGAAGAACACCGTCTGAACCTGCTGTCACGGCTGTTTTTTTTGCTTTTTTTCTCTCATGTTGAGCTGGAGCTGTTCTTCTCTCTCTCTCTGTGTCATCTCTCCCTCCCTCTCTCTCTCGCTCTCTCCCCCCTCTGTCCATCTGTGGAGCCTCTGGGCTCACGCACAGCTTCTGGTGGTCCATACTTAGTCCCGCCTCTGTTTGCCCCCCCACCCCCACCCCGCCCCTCATTGACGGTGACTACAGAGCCGGGCCTCTGTCTTTGTAGTTGTTTAGAGACAAACTGTGTGTGAGTGTGTGACTGACGGCAGCCTGGAAGGTCTCTGAATGACCGTCCTCCAGACCTGGTGCTTTGATTCTACTCTGTGACTTTTCTCACTCTTCACTTTCATTCTGTTCTCTCCGCTCACGGCCCCGACTGATCACAGCCCGTCTTCAAACAGAGGGACATGAAGCACAGACCGTTCTGTTTGATTTCTGACGGCCCTGCCTTCCTCTCTGAGAGACAGTACACACACACGCACACACACACGTCTTTTTGTACAACTGCACACTGTTATGAACATCAGTCAAATCTGCATGCCTGCACACACTCGCACATACACACTCACACACACACACACACACAGATGCATTTGCGGCATCCATGTGTCCCACGGCGGCTGGTGAGCTGTTGCTGCTCTCCAGGATTGGATCATCAGCCAGCTGTGAATTGGACAGCACAGGATCTGTTCTAATCCCTGCCACTCTGTTCACATCCACACACACACTCCACACACACACACACACACACACACACTCTCTCAGAGTCCCAGACTCGGCCTAGCAGTGGGTTTTACTAAGTTTGTTTTGTTCTGTTTGCTCTTCTTCTTCTTCACTTCCTCTTCTCCTCTGTCCTCGTCTTCTGTCCTCGTCCTTCTGCCACATGTGGTCAGAAATCCCAGGAGTCTGAGGGGCGGGGGCGAGGAATCACTCGTGTTATTTCTTTTGCACACATGCCAGACACGCATGTACCGCTAGCCCTTAGTAAAAGTGTGTTTGAATGCGTAACTGAGTCCAGTGGTGCCGGAGTTGAATATCTGCAGGATCTTCCCTCAGTTCTTTTTATCTCTGTGAAATGCAGCGTCTCCGTGCGTGAAGGCGTTTGTGTGGAGCGGCAGACGTCGATGAAGTCAGAGCAACTTCAGTCGAGAAAGTAAAGAAAAAAGTGTCCGTCGGTTTCTCACCTCCAGCTCATGAATATGTAACTGTGGACGTGAAACATCTGACCGTGACGGCCTGTGTAATTCACTTGATGTGACTAAGTCATGGACAGAACAGCTTTTGGCCCAAACGACACGTTTGTAAATTCAAACAGGAGGAGGTTCAGACTGAGAGAGTGTTGGTGGAGAAAGAAGTTTGGTTCAGAGAGAGTGTTGGTGGAGAAAGAAGTTTGTTTTAGATGAGGGAGAAAGAAAGAAAAAAAACTCCTGGGAGGGGAGGGAAAATCCTCCCAAACTAAACTGGTCTGGACCACTGTGGAGATTTTTATAAATTTACATGAGGAGAAAGTAGGACTGTGTGTTGGCAGGGATCTGGTGATGGAGTTTGTATCATCATACTGGGGAAGACTGAGAAGAAGAGTTGTTGACCACAGCTGACCAGCACTGTTGTACTGGACAACGTCTGGTTCCAAACCTGGTTAGATCAGTTCATGGTTTTACTGGTATCAGTGCTGTTGTCAAATTTTTTCATGTTTTTAGCTTATAAAGAAAATAATTTTGGTCTCTCAGCTTCTTCTCCATGTAGTAATTATAACAGTAGATAATCGTAAAATAAAAATAATTCAGTGGATCTGTTGAAATATCAGTGAATAAATGACTTTGTGAGAGACGGATTCTTTAGAGTTGACTCGCAACTAAACACTGCTGCTGCGCTGTGTTTCATTTAATTATTTTTTTCCACTTTTTGTACTTGAACACTGTGAGTGTGTGTGTGTGTGTGTGTTGGCAGAGAAGTGTAAATGAGGAAGGTGAGGCAGCAGATGTCACGTCCTGCCAGAGGCTCGCTTCGAGCAGCCAGTGAAATCTGGGCGCGACAAAACTGCTGCAAACCAACTCGGCGGGAGGCCCTTGTCCAATCACGGCCCAGAATAAAAAGGCCAGGGCGCCACGCGGGCCACGGCCACTCACGAGAGGCGGGCGCCATAATGAACCTGCGAGGCCTGCCAGCAAACACACACACACACACACACACACACACACACACTCTCTCTCTCCCCCGCGTTAAAA